TTTTTTTTTTTTTTTTTTTTTTTTTTTTTTTTTTTTTAAATTTCTATAATTCTTATGTTATGTCAAACTTATAATATTTTGAGCTAATTTATACACTCCAATCCTTTACTTACATCTCTCCTACTCACTTAGTTCAAAGTTTTGTTCTACAATTAATTAATTATTTTTTTATTTTTACATCTTTTCCAATAATTAAAGTTATATATTTTTAAGAAGTAATAAATAAAGCAAATAATTATTTTAAAAACATTATTAAATGGGTGATGTCAGTGGTCCCCACGCGCTTCCGACAGTTTCACATTGGGCCCACTGTCAAATTACGGCCCAAAATAATGTTGGATTTGGGCTTTACTGTGTGGGCTGGGCCAAGGCGGTCAAATTTCATGATATTTATTAAATAAATAACAAAATATTTGAATATTTAAAGTTAATATATGATCGTCAAACTCTTTACAGCCGAGGGATTTTCTTTTGGAGGTTTGTGATGAAAGAAGGAAGGAGCGAAATTTTTTCATTTTTTTCTGGGAATTTTTGGATTCATATATATTTTTTTTTCTTTCTCGGAAGGGGGAAAAGTTCTTTTACGGTTACGTTCGTTCTTTTTCATTTTGGATCTACGTTTCCTTTTCGTCTTTCTGTTCATCGGCTTCTTGCAGTTTGTTTTCTTGAAAACGATTTTTTTTTTTTTTTGGCGGTCTTGATTTGTGGAGTTGTTTTGATGAAATTGGCGTGGGTTTGGATTGATTTTGAATCTTGGGTGATTCAATGATGGTTTCATTTCTTGACGGAAATTGATTTGGATGGTGGATTTGAGAGACGCAGATGGAAAGGGGGCGGATGAACGGAAATGGGATTTGTGATTATAGTTACGAGGGCAATGGTTTTCATGCGTTAGATCTTGTGGATGTCTATGGAGGAGAGAGCACGCCGAATGGAAGAAGCTCTGGGAAGACCTCGCAGGGTTCATCTCCTACTAGTTGCATCCTGCATCCAGTATCGAAATTAGATACTCTTGCTGGAGTTGCAATCAAATACGGTGTCGAGGTAAGCCGCACTTGAGAATTTTAGATATTTCTTTGATGAAATGGGAATTTTTGTAATGAGCATTCGTTTGTATCGTTCTCAACTTTAGTTAAATTGCTGTTGTGATGGAGAAACAATGGAAATGATTAGTTCAAATTCTTTTTGCTTTTCTGATATTCGCGTGTCAGATGTTGCTTTATTAATGAATCTTATCATCTGCACCGACAAGGCTAGAGTTTATCTCTTTCCCTTTTGGCAGGCATGATTTCTTAGAAAACCATATCGATGTGAACTCAATCGGGCCTTAAATTTTCTGTTATGATCAAATGAGGCTTATGGCGGATTCATCTCGAGAATGGAATGAATCATAACAAATTATCATTATTTTTCCCTCCTGAGATAATCATTAGACTTGTATGGACTATGTGCAGATGTTCGTAAGACCTTTTTTTTTTTTTTTTTCCTGTTCTCCCCCCCTTGATTTTACCTTTTTGAAGTCTATAGTTTATAGGGACCGAGCGCCGGAGCCATAGTTTTTTTGTTGGGGAGCAAACATATATGAAAATAAAATTTAACAAAAATTGAGAAACTGGCCTAAAATCAAACAATAATTCATAAGGCGAATTGTCAATTGAAAATTTTCTTATCGAAAAAATATAAGAAATCAAAGGGACAAAATCCTTGTCTCAGTTAACTTTTAGAACTTAGATTTGAAGAACGTGGTTGACAATTTTATACCCTTCACTTGTAACCAAGGGTTTAAAAGTGGCCCACCATAGTGTGGAGGCAAAATTTTCTCTTCACTTGGTTGCCCCGTTTAATAGTAAGAGGTTGATAGTGCGCAATTGTGATGAATATCGACTTTCTTCTTCTTGTTGTGGTCAGTATTTTTACTCCAAAGTCATGGACCATTTCATTCATCCCTCATTCATATTTTTTGTTATCTGATTGCACTTATAGCATAGCTGATCCAAGCACACGCTTCAATGGGCATAGCACACTATCATTCCGTCTTTGTATGTTATGTTTTGGAATAACTTAAGTGGATCTATTTAGGAGAAAAATGTAATTTTGGTTTTTGATGATTCGCCAGGTTGCAGATATAAGGAAGATGAATGGGCTAGTCACAGATTTTCAAATGTTTGCTCTTAAATCTCTCCAGATTCCTCTTCCTGGAAGGCATCCTCCTTCTCCTTGCTTACTGGAAGAGCTAAGTACACCAGGGTACGTGTATTGATTATCATATGTTTCCACATTATTGCACACGAGTGACGTAAGTTGAGTGCATGTTTGCCATTTTTGACATTTTTTCCCCTGAGACTATGGCTATGTCTCGTTGAGCTGTGTCCAATGCCTTGTTTGATCCATGGTAGTGACTTGCAGAATCATCAGTTATTGGTCATATAGGACTTGAGGTTAAGGGTGGGGTTCAAGTAGTGTTGCTACTTGTAGAACCGTGCTTTGAGTGGACTAAGCGAAGCCATTAAGAAAGAAAATTTGAGTGGAGCCAGCGCCATGCTTTGATGTTGATGCCTGGACGTCTTAGGGCCCTTTAGGTTCTTTTTTTTGATGGAGGTGATGGGATGGAATAGTGTATACTGATAATTCTTTTGCTGTAGGAATTGTTGGTGATGGTTGGAGAGTGGCCCTGATTATAAGTGGATGCTATTGTGATGGCAATATCGTTCTCAGGTGCTTTGTTGATACAAGATTTAAAGCTGCCCTAACTTCATCTTGAATTAAAATAAATAAATAAATAAAATCATTATGAATTAATATCCTTCGAGTCTCATTAATGGCATCCATCAGAAATATAGTACCACTAGGAAACGAATCCTGCATCTTTGATTTCATTTGCAAAAACTTTGCCTGGAATTCTTTATGCTCAATTTTGCCTGGAATTCTTTATGCTCAATTTTGCCTGGAATTCTTTATGCTCAATTTTGCCTGGAATTCTTTATGCTCAAGTATGCAAATTTCTTATCGTTCATTTCAAGAGATTTGTCAAGTACATTGTGCCCATTACAACTATTAAATTAGAGGCGGAGATGGAATTAGAAAGACTTCAGTTTTCCAATATTTTGCTGGCCAACCCATCATCTTGTGTTTGATAAAAGAGAATCATTTTGCAGACAAAGCAGCTCCGAAAGGACTCCAAGTGCACGTCTTTCATCGGATTTCTTTGAATCATTCCAATCCCTCAAACTGAAGTCTTCCGAACAAAGGATCTCCTCAGCCATGAGCTCTTTACAAGGTTACTATGGCCTCAAACCATCTGACCAGAGGAGCAGAATCAATGGTTTCGACACGGCAGTCTACAGTGAAGGAGCCTCTCATGATTCAGAAGACATGCTTGTTTCTGGGACCTCACAGGATTTGGATTTACTAATGCCTCACCATCGAAAATCCAGGAGTTCAGTGAATGGATTTCTGGGTGAGAAAGTAGAGGTGGCTGATCTGCAATCTGCAGAAGCTGGCGGCGATGGGGATCCCAAATGGAATGACAAATTGGTAAGAAGGCGCCAGAAATCTGTAGCTGACTTTTCCCATTCCCCTGAAATGCTCTTGAAAGATGACAACAGCAGTGGAAGTAACGGGTTCTCATCCTCGGCTGGAAAGGGCCTTTTGGCTCAAAGACCCAAAACATCTAGCAGAACTAATTTGGCAAGTGACAATGCGGTTGGATTGATTCCAATTCCAATAGGTTTGGGGGATTCATATGTGGCCGTTGATGGGTTTGCTGGGGTAAGAAAGTCATTGAGCACATCCAGTTTGCCGGATCCGGAGAATGGCAACACTTCATCAATTTGGTCTGCTTCAAAGTGGAGTTTGAAACCGGATTTACAGGCAATTTCAACTGCTTCAGGCTTGCCAAAACCTTTGACGGGTCGAAGAAACAAAGCTGCACTCGATTAGTTCCATCTGGTTAAAAGGGAAAAAAAAGGGATAAATTTTCTACCCACTTTTGCTCCATAATTTATCAGGTTTTTTTGATGCTGCCTTTTATAGTTCAAGAAAGAATACAACTATGAAGAAATTAAAGAAGTCAAATAACAGGTCTGTTTTCGCCTTTCATCTTTGAATTATAGTTTTCATAAAGGAGGTTGAGGTTGTTTTGGTTACAATGAATTGGTGAAATGAGTACGGTAGAATTTGTTTTTGTAAGCAAATGTGTATATTAGTTTATTAAGGTCAACTCCGTTGAAAAGTGAAACAAAAAGCATTTCTTTTTTCAATAAAGTGATGTTGATATTTACTTCCTTTTTCTTATCACTTTGTTGAAGATGATTATAATGCCACCATTGATGATCTCACTAACTGTTCTATTTTCAACTAATGGGCTCTAATTACTACGAAGTTTCTCTTTTACTTCATTCTAAATTACTGTGAATACTATACAATTGGTAATTGCATTAAAAAAAAAAAAAAAAAAAAAAAAAA